AAATTTACTGCAACTTTAATACGGTGCTAAGTTGAAATATATCAAACTTAATAAACTTGATTACATAATACTACGGTTTGACCTGAACAAAAATACGGTTAATCCCGCAATGAGCATGCAGAGAGTTTGCACCGTATTATAGTAAATTTGATCATTAAATTATTGTGGTGCAAAAGAATTGTAAAAAACTATCAGAACTTAATCCTTTGAGGTCATATTTTGTTGGAATTCAGCAGAAACCGGCAGCCAAATACTGCTGCACGATCTCAAAACGTTTATGTTCTTGTTGCTCTTGTAGTTCATTTACGTCACACTAGAGCTGCACAATGGGCTATTGNTAAGAAAAAAGAAATTGAATCACTTTATTTAGTTTTAATATTTAAAATAATCTTTAAATTTTTCCTTTTAAAACTTAAATAAAAATTGCGATTTTTTTTATATTTGTTGAACGCAAGATATTCCTTAGGAGTATCCAGTTGTAAATTAAATTTTTTAATCAATTATGATTATTATTTTTATTGTTAGATAATAATGTATAAAAATTTTTTTTGTCTATTTAGGATTTTTTGAGAGGACATAAGTTGTTCAAAATACAAATTTATGAGAAAGAAAATTGAACCTTTTTTAAAAAATATAATATTTCAAAACGTTTCTTAAATTTTCCCCTTTAAAAACTAATTCCGATTAAAGAAACAAATTTATAAATTAGACCAACCTTAACAGGTAATAATATTTTTTTTAAATGAAATGAATGGAATTTGTAGTGTTTTTTTCTTTTCTTCCTTTTTGGAAAACAAATGTGAAAACTTCGTATTATGCAGCTTAATAATTACTTCTGAATAAACGGAATATATTTTATGTACTTTTTCTTAACCCTATAAGCAATTTGTAGCAAATCAATAAATTAAATTATTAAAAGAATAAATAATTTTTTAAAATTTCTTATGGCAAAGCAATTAATAAACAAGTAACAATAGAAAAAAAAAATTTAATAAAAATACAATAAAAAAGATGATTGCCTTGAAACATTTACCAAATTTTTCACCTATTATAAAACCATATATTTTATTGTTAATTTTACCAAAATTTCTTTTATGTAGAAAACAATCAAATAATAAAGAAAGAACTCTTTTGGTTTCAAACTCCTTATTTAGAACACAATTAAAAAATAAGAAAATAACTCTTTCAGTTATAAATTATTTATTTAGAAAGCAATTAACCAATAAAGAAATAACTCTTTTAGTTTTTAACTCCTTATTTAGAACACAATGAAACAATAAAGAAAGAACTTTTTTAGTTTCAAACTCTTTATTTAGGAAACAATTAAAATCAAAACCATAAAAATTTCACCGATTCAAATAAGTTTATATTAAAATGTAGAGTAATAGAATTACGATACAATAACCAAATAACTCTTTTAGTTTTAAACTCTTTATTTAGAAAACAATCAAACAGTAAAGAAATAACTCTTTTAGTTTTAAACTCTTTATTTAGGAAACAATTAAAATCAAAAACATAAAATTGCAGAATAGAATAAAAAATTTTTTTTTACTGGTAGATACTGTCAACACCGGCTTTCAAATAAAAAATTCTTAGATTTGCAAATAATTTTCTGAAATTTATTTTGTTCGTCCCAGAAATGTAATTTATTTTTGAGTTAAGTTGAAGAAGGCGATATTTACCGCTCTGCGGTTGATTGTCACAAAGCTGTATTGTCGTATTACACTGTTAGAAATTTGGGAGCGCGTTCGACTATGATGTTTTTCAAATTTTCTGCATCCATATAATAATGCTTAATACATTTAGTTGTCACAAAACTATGTTAGCGTATTATACTGTCATAAATTACAGAGTATGTTGAACAAAAATGGCTCTTAAATTTACTGCAACTTTAATACGGTGCTAAGTTGAAATATATCAGACTTAATAAACTTGATTATATAATACTACGGTTTGACCTGAACGAAAATATGGTTAATCCCGTAATGAGCATGCAGAAAGTTTGCACCGTATTATAGTAAATTTGATCATCAAATTATTGTGGTGCAAAAGTATTGAAAAAAACTGACAGAGCTTAACCCTTTGAGGTCATATTTTGTTGGAATTCAGCAGAAACCGGCAGCCAAATACTGCTGCACGATCTCAAAACGTTTATGTTCTTGTTGCTCTTGTAGTTCATTTACGTCACACTAGAGCTGCACAATGGGCTATTGGCGACCGTCTGGGAAACATCCCTGAGGATGATCCGAAGACTTGCCTCACAATTTTGATCTTCTGCAGAGGGGATGGCACCCACGCTTCGGTAGCCCGGCGACCTGCACGCGAAGTCGAGCACTTTACGGTAGAACAGTTTAACGAGGACCAATACCGCACACCCTCGGTCCCTACGCAGACTGATCCAAGTAGTCACCCACCCGCACACTGACCGCAGCCAGTGATGCTTGACTTCGGTGATCTGGTGGGAACCGTGTCTTACCGATCAGTTCACTGTGGGACCAAAACGTTTATGAAGAAATTTATACATTTTACAAACTAAATTTTAGATTTGGACTATGAAAGACTCAACTAAATATTACCTATTTTACCTAAATTAAGCTGCTCAACAAACACTGCAAAATTTTATGAAGTTAAAAAGAGAAATGCACCTTATATTCATATGATAATATCGCATCATGTACTTTCATATTGTGTTCAGAAAATAATTTAAATGGCAGTAAAAAAATAAAATTGCATAATGTATTATCATACATGATGTATTTTTGTACCTGATTATGCCTGATGTAACGATTTGCATGGTGCGTTTACTTGTTGTATTTATTTTTATTACACGTATTACCTCCTATACCTTCATAAAATTTCATAATAATATTCTATGTGGCAACCAACAAGGATTGTGGAAAGTAATTAGATTATTTGTATATTCATAAACTTAAAATACTTACAATATTTCAATCTTTTTACCTGCCATATTGAAAGACATGCATTGTGTTTGTGACATTTTTAACTGGAGAGGACACAAATTTTTAATGTTGTACCAACGGTACTTTTGTAACGACTTTTCTCATTAAACTTCTAAAAATCTCAATTTCGAATGATTTTATTTATCTTAAAAATTGCGTTTTAGAAGTTCTGGCTGTTAACCACAGTAATTGTTTTACTTATCTCAATTAAGTTAAAAAAATATCATTTGTCTATATTAAGAATTATTATAGCAGCATGAAGTTTTGTTTGAAAATGGAGCATACTTAAAATTAATTATCACAAATCTAAAAATTTTTTTTTAAAGATTATCGCAATTATTTTTAGTGTTTTGCGAACAAAGAATTACTACAATTCCTTGATGCAAATTGAAACTCATTGATATAAACTACTTTATTTATTTTTATTTTTTTTGAGAAATTAAACAAAAATATCATAAAACCTCTTAAACTAAATAATAATAATAAATTTCATAAGCTCATTACTCAATTTTTAACTAGCTATCATTTCTGGGTTAGTGGAATTTTGCAATCGAAACTTGACCTAGGTTTATATTTCAAGTCGTAACAGATAAATATAACACAAATTCCACTAAAAGAGAAATAGATAAGGAACGGGAGTGATTTTCGTTATAAAAGAGATGTTTATATTTATAGAACTTTTTATAAAAATGTTTACACCCCCTTCAGATCAAGGAGATAAATATCGTTATTTTATGATGTTTTGAATCCACAAAATGTACGTTTTGCGAAAAAAATCGCAAAATATAAAGCATTTTCGCATTTAAGAATTTTACGCCAATTAAAATCAAGAAAACGATAAAATTTCATATTTATCAAGTTTTCTTGGATCTTTAAACAAAGTATATTTCGAGGAAGCAATTAACGAAGTATAAATGGAATAATCTTTATTCAATCATGAGCATATGTTTCATTGAAAATTTTTACGTCTTCTAAAATCAAGAAGATACATTTTTTTACTTTGTTTGAAAATACATTTTGCTGAAGCAATTGCAAAATATAAATTGAGAAATATTCATCAATTGAAGAATTTTTACTTCTGCAGCATTTTTTCGTTCAAAATGATTACGCCATTTTAAAATCAAAGGAAAGATTTTCTTATTTATCAGTCTCTTTTTTTTCCTTGACCCTGCAATATACCATAGGAAAACAGCAAAATGGAAAATTAAAAAAAAAAAAAAAAATGATGATTAAAATTTTTTATTTTCTGCTGATTTTTCGTTAATTTTAAAATCTATGACACAAAAACAAAATATAAAGCATTTTCGCATTTAAAAATTTTACGGCAATTAAAATCAAGAAAACAATAAAATGTCTTATTTATCAAGTTTTCTTGGATCTTTAAACAAAATATATTTTAAGGAAGCAATTAACGAAGCATAAATGGAATAATCTTTATATTTAGAGCATATGTTTCATTGAAAATTTTTACGTCTTCTAAAGTCAAGAAGATACATTTTTTTACTTTGTTTGAAAATACATTTTGCTGAAGAAATTGCAAAATATAAATTGAAAAATATTCATCAATTGAAGAATTTTTATATCTATAGCATTTTTTCGTTTAAAATGTTTTCGTCTTAAAATCAAGAGAAAGATTTTCTTATTTATCAGTTTCTTTTTTTTCTTCTTAACCCTGTATCATACCATAGAAAAACAGCAAAAAGTAAAATTCGGATATTTGAACAAAAAAAAAAAATAAAAATGCTGATTAAAATTTTTTATTTTTTACTGATTTTTCGTCAATTTTAAAATCTATGCTATTTTAAAACAAATTTATTTATTTTTTGCGTTAAGTGCTTTTGATTTGAATAATTCGATAAAATTCAAAAGTTATTCTTTCAAATGAAATTGCATACGTCATCACACAATTTTCGGGGCGCATTTACAAACAGGAACTTAAAATCCTAAAAGAAACCGCAACTTGTCCGCGACCCGACCACGATCGGCGCTGACGAAAAAAGAACTGCAGGCCGCCAAAATCCGCTACGTCCCATCCTAAGCAGCGCCCTGCGTTGAATGCTCTGGCGCACCTTGTAGGGCGGGTACTAAAAACCGCGCGCCGCCGACAAAGTACTGCCCCTTTTTTTGTTTTTATTACCTCTCGGCAGCTTTTTGTTTTATTTTTTTTTCTCTATCACTCGCTGCAAGGTAGGTTATAATTTCCCCCTCTTTTTTTTTACATCCACCGATCGCAGTTGCGTCTTCCCGGGCAACGTCACAACTGGACGATCTAGGCCTAACGGGGGACGAAAAAGATTCCAATGCAAAGCCACTAGTCACACTTCTCGGCCGAACGAAGCAGAGAGGTGGTCACCGGCAAAGTCCGACTAGAACTATCCGGCGCGTTACGCACGCTTTCGCTGTTTTTACGCATTGTTCTTGTTTACATTAAGGCGCAGTAGGGGACATTGCCTGACGTATGTTATTTTGGTCAAGAATATGATTGTGATATATTGACAAGAAGACTTATGATTATTTCTTTTTATTGATTGATAGACTAGAGATTTAAATCACATCTGATTTTGATTTAACTATCGGCTGTCACCGCTGTGCCTAAATTAAAAGTTGCTGAGCTAGTTTTTGTTGTGGATAATTGACGATAATCAATGGATTTTGTAAAAGGTAGTTTACGTAAACAATTGGAGACGTTTTTATTCACGGTAAACAAGTGATTAAAGGAAAAAAATTATACTACAAAAACATTTTAATTCTAATAATGACGTAAACAAATATTTAAATGAGTGAATAGTAAAGAGGAGGTGATTTTTTTTTTCACCCCGAAAAAAAACAAAGTGGATTTTCATGTTTGTTTATGATTTTGAATAACAGTTTTTGCAAACGATTTTGGTGAATTTCTCATGACAGAAAGTGGAAGTTAAAGAACACTTTTGGAGGTTATTCCTTTTGTTCTAATAGTGTGTTTTTTCGTTTGGGTTATGTCTTAAAAACAATTGATCTGATGATGATGCAACCTGAAGGATATGGGTCTATACCCATGGACCTGCACATTTCACAGCAAGGATACCATCCATATTACAGGTTAGTGTCATTTCATGAATATTAATTAAATTTAATATTTTTTAAACATTTTTCATTACAAGAATGTAAATAAATTTTGAAAGTTTTTTAAGGTAAATATTTTTTTTAATTAAGTTTTTCATTACAAAAAAATATAAAATTAAAACATGATTATACAAACATAAGTTTCCTAAACTAAGGTAACTAAGTAAATTTTTAATTACAATAAGGAAAATGAAATCAAAAATATTAATATATATATATATATATAT